GCCCAAGGCCTATCAAGGCCTTGGCGGATGTGGGAGATGTATTGCCCAAATCCTTAGGGTACCAGCGAGAAAAACAGGTGCTGACTGCTGCCATGGGGACCCCAGAGACAAGTCAGAGACAAGTTCCGCAGTCAAGTCTCTCGAAAACCTGAGCATTTCACGCGCTTTGAAGCCCAAGGCGAAGGAGCCCAGGCCTGCCCAACCTTTAAGGCAAGCGCTCGGCGATCGTTCTGATAGGCCGATTTTGTGTGACGCCTTTGCTGAGCGTTGTGGTCAGGCAGAGAACTGGAACGGGAGCGGGAGCTGTTTTCCTCATCGTTGGCGGTGCAGGGTTGTTTTGAAGATGGCTGTCGTCCAGGCCCTAAGCCTTAGCCCCGAACGAGCCTGGACACCAGCAAACATTCAACGCCTACAGAAAGTCGCCGGCTGGGGGGTTTTGGGGGTTTTAGGATGGCTTGGAAGTTGGTAGGAATGTCACTGACGTTCAACACCATTGTCCCAGCCATTTGGGCTAACGCATGGCTGCTTTCCGACCGCAACAAACCCGGCGTCTGCCCAGTCCTCGGCAGTGCTACGGGGGCACCGTGCCGCCGCAGGCACAAACTCGCGACTCCAGCATGGCACGGTGCGACTTCCAGGACCCATGGCTGGGCGCTGCAGGCCTCGGCTTCGACCCCCCTGAACCTCGCTTGGGCTCCGCAATCCGAGGTCAAGCGCACGGCCGTTTCGCAATGACTGCTTTCCTCGCCGTCTTCTTTGACTCGGCCGTGGGGAGGAGTCGTGGCCGTGGACACCCTGGATGGCTCCCTCGGTTTGGACAAGCTTCGGGGTCCGGTCATCGCGCTTGCGCTTGGCTACCAGGCGCTGGCGGAGTACAACTTGCAGAAGAGTGAGAAAGACGGCAACTTCCTCAGCGTCGAGTACAAGAAGGAGCGGTGCCCTGGCGACCTCGGTTTCCGCCCTCGCTCAAAAGGCGCCGACAAGAAGGGCCTGCACAACATTGAGGTGAACACAGGGCGCTTGGCAATGATCGATATCACTAGCTTCTTTTGGACGGAGTTCCTGTTCAAGGATGAGGGCATTGCGGCGAAACTTCTGTCCGACTCCAACATCTAGTGATGCAGTGGACGCAGTGGGGGATGCAATTTTCATGCTTCAGCCCTGTACCACAAGTGTCAAAGGGTTTTCAATGGTTTTCATCAGCTTGTGATTTTTCTCGTTGTTGGCGGTGCAGGGTTGTATAGACGATGGCTGTCGTCCAGGCCCTAAGCCTTAGCCCCAAACGAGCCTAGACACCAGCAAGCATTCAACGCCTACTGAAAAGTCGCCGCATGCAGAGAGAAGCTGGCTCCAGCATACCTGGTGGCGGAGGCCCCCAAAGTCCTTGCAGGCTACAGTCGTGAACCTCGAGCCTCGCTGTGAGGATGGAGCCAAGATCGGCGAAACCCCGATAGTGCAGCAGGTGGTCTGGGTTGCCATTCGGACCGTCACTGGTTTCGGGGTTAGGGTTTGCAGCTTGCAGCTTCTGCGTCGCCTCCCTTGTCCGGATGATGCGTTAGGGCAAGCTTTGTGATGCCGCTTCCACTTCTTCGCTCTTGCTGGGCAAGGCATCCTGCTCTAGAAGGTCCAGTGTGTCTACGCCGTGCCACCTTCGTCGGATTGCTAGAGGTAGGGAAGACCGAGAGGCAAGAAGAAGCCGGAAACTTCAAACGAGGTTCGCCCTGGCATTAAACTTGGCCCAAAACCCTGCAAGAACTTTGTCTGTGTCTCCCTATCCCAATGTCCTGATTTTTTGCGGCAAGATGTATGACGGGTGGTGAAGCCTGTGTGATTTACAAGCAGCTGCTGACAAATGCCGCAACTCGCCATTCCGTAGTTGATGTCATCCATGCCCTGGCCGCCGAGCATCTCGGTTCTGTGGTGGTTTCGCTTCCATGGTCTGCAGCTGTCGACATAGACCAGCTGGCGGCGGAGAGTTCAGCCACTCGTTGCACGCGTGCCTTGCTTAAAGTGGTCAGGAACCTCCTCGACATTTCGTGGCAACTGCAGCTCGCACTGTGCCCGAGCCATGTGACGTGGAAACTGGTGTTGCCTTTACGTGCGATCGACGCCGCTGCACTTGAGAAACCTTCGCGAGGTTGGGCAGATAACGCTGTTACCGGAATGCGCCGATGGCATCGCGAGTTCAGTATCGGCCATGTGCAAGCACCACAAGAGAGCGGGCGTGCTGCTAGACCAAGACTCGTAATCCGCCAACGCAACCTTGACAAAGAAAATCTAAGTTGAACTCCTGGAGCTTTTTCAGGCTGGTTCCAAGATCAGATCTGACAATGCGTGGAAATTGCTCTGCTCGAGTGGCGCGTCGTCTGCCTGCCTTGCTGCATGGGGCCACCCGAGATTCGGGGGGGGGGGGGGGGGTGTCATCCTCACCTGTCCAGCTTTCAAAGATGCTGCGGCAGAACACAAGCCAGCATTGTGCGACGATCGGTGAGGTCACGGACCTGAGAGGGAGAGAGTGGAGAGCGAAAAATAAACCCAACAAAATGAACGGTAAATTCACGCTTCACGTTGTAACTTACCTTTCGTCTTGGGCTTCTGTAGGTATATTCCTACACGGCTTGGGTGTTCGCCCGTCGAAAACCTTAATGAACAAAAGCCCGGATGGAAGGGGTGAGTCCTAAAAGGCAAAGGGAGATGGGGGAAGAGAGTACTAAGCCCCCATGAATACAGATCTTTTCATTCGGGTCAGCTGGATACGTCTCAGCTTCAGGAGTCCTTGCTCGGGCAGCATGCCCTCCTTGGCAAAAAGGTGCGCCAAGGTAGCTTGGGGGTGCAGGGCCTTAGGAATTTTCGGCCTTGCCTTTTTGGGTTCCGATCATATACTAAACCCTACAGTCGAACCAACAGTCACTACACAGACCTAACCAAGCATTGCGTAGACTTTGACTCTTAGAGGCGTGGCCGCGGTAGCGAAGACTTTAGGATGAAAGGGTTTGCTGCTTTGCCTCGATAGCTGTAAACTTAGGACCCTGAGGTTGGGTCTGTTTGTTAGGCTTACCTGAGGAATAGACCCGCCCCTTAACAGCAACCACAAGAAGGAACCTAGAATCAGGGCACTCAACTGCGGAGGTTTTACTAATCAGCAGAGTCCGAAGCCTCAGACGCTGAATCCAGGATACAACTGCGGCTTCACTCTCACGCCCGACAAATACCTTAGGGACCTAAGCTGAAAGATGTTGGTCCAAATGTGCAGAAAACCCTGAACTCTGAACCCTAAACCCTAAACCCTAAACCCTAAACCCTGAACCCCATATTCGGATACCATCATTGACATAATTGGTAATATTGTTGGTAAACATCTTTGGTGACATCTTTGGCCAATAATAATCATGGGGGCATTCTTATTATTGATCGAGGACCATCCTTATATTGCTTTTCGTAAATACCATCTTTCGATTCGTAGGCGACGGTCATCCATTGGTTGACAATTGGATTGACCATGGCTCACGTAGGAACCCTCCAAGAGATGCCGAAACGTGTTTCGAGGGGTTGGTATTCCATGTGCTTTTCATGATCTTTCCAGGGGTTTTCCACTTTTCTGCATCTTTTTTTGGGGTTGGTCTAGCCTAATAAGCCAGGGGTCGTTACTTCGGCAACAACCAACAAGTGAAGAATCCCTACGAAGATGGTGCCCCTTACTTGATCAACCTGGGGTTTACTGATACGGTCTTGGCGTTAGTTTAGGGTTTAGGGTTTAGGGTTTAGGGTTTAGGGTTTAGGCTTTAGGGTTTAGGGTTTAGGCTTTAGGGTTTAGGGTTTAGAGTTTAGGGTTTAGTGACGGCTTAGTAAATGATTGATTGCATGATTGATGCTTGATGGATGGATGTGTTTCGTCAATCAATGTTAGTTAACCATGTAGAAGTTATTAAGTTGCCGTAATGATGGTGCAATCACGGTGGCAAATAAACCGTGACTACTGGTGAAATTGCAACAATGCATTGCAGCACCATCTATTGGTGACATGGAGTATGTTTGGTTCATCAACCATGTGATAGTGGTTAAGCTAATGCTAATGATGGTGCAAAAGGATCCAGCAATGATGAAAGGATAAACTATAGCAATGTTGGGTGTAGCAATGGTCAAATTGATGATACACATCTATATGTCATATGGCCTTGGTGTGGCATTACTGGTTGCTTGGTGATTGTGACTATGTGTGGCTAGTAACTCGAGTAGCCACCCTGCAAAAACACGTCAAATGCTTCTATAGCCTCTCCAGCTCTCGGTACTTTTCGGCAAGACATGCATTGAACGCCATGCTCTTTCCTATAGTGGATAGCCTTTTGCGTTTGGGAGAAACGCATGATCACGCATGTGTCGGAAGGAATCCGTTAGTTCTTTTCTGGAGAATTGGATTATAACGTGCCGAGAATGTTGGCGCCGACTATGGCACCTGGGGAGGGCAAATCTTGCCCTGAACTTGCAGACGGACTTGAGCTCCACTACCGGTAGGATCCATGCATGGTGCACATATGCGTACCGACACCGGGACATGCTTGAGGATGGCACATTGGCAAATGCAGGTGCATGTGCCATACAGGGATCCTATGCTTTCCAGTTTTGTTCCCGAGGTTTTCTGCATTTGGCAAACACACATGTGTATGAACACAATACATGGATCATAAAAAAGTCCCGTTCTCAGACTTGCAGAATCGCTCCTGAGTGATTTTTTACAGCAATCATTGCTGTTTTTTTTGGCGGCTCTAGAGGATGCAAAGGCACACACAGTTTAGGATTTAGGGTTTAGGGGTTGGGGTTTAGGGTTTAGGGTTTAGGGTTTAGGGTTTAGGGTTTAGGGTTTAGGGTTTAGGGTTTAGGGTTTAGGGTTTAGGGTTTAGGGTTTAGGGTTTAGGGTTTAGGGTTTAGGGTTTACGGTTTAGGGTTTAGGGGTTTAGGGTTTAGGGCTTAGGCAACGGGCCCGCGCCCGCTCCCATCCCGAGATGTGGGCCCCAGAGCAGCTGAAGATGGGCCTCGACGAGAAGAAGATGGTGGTGCATTCAGCTTGCTGCTGTTGGTACAGTGGCTGTTTCTTTGTCATAGTGGGATAACATTTTGCATTTTTAAGGGTACTTAAGCTCAATAAGAATGGAATTTCAAATTTTTATTACTATCCCAACTATGAACCAGGTTTGCTTGAACTCAACAACAACATTGGCTGCGCATCACAGGACCTGCGTACCTCATGCTCCGCCCTCAAAAGAGAGATTTTCATTTGTGCAACCATTAGTCAACCACTTGGTTGATGGTAAATTGATGTCACATTTGTCACCTGTTTTAACTCACCATTTTCCGTTTACGTCCGTAACTTTTCCATTTGCCAAGCCTGCCAGGAGAGCTTGCTGTGTTTGGAGTGTGACGTTTGCTTGAGAACCGGCACGCCACTCTTGTGCTGCGGGTGCTGTGCTCTACGTCTGGTGGATTGCCCCGCGTGCTGCGTGGGACAGTATCAGCCCCTTGAAGTTAGTGGCCATGTGGAAGCATCGAAAGGTTAGGGGGGATCATAGGTTGAACCAGCTGGTGCAGCTTCATCCTGGTGATGGTAACGGTCTGGTAATTTTTAGTTTTTGTTTGTTGGTGATTGTGCAGGAATTGTTGTGAATCGTAAGAGGTGCTCGAAGGCTAGTTGATGTGCCGGCGATAAACGCTGAAAGCTGGAGTTTTGTTAGACATTGAATTGTGCGGGAGCTTCGAGGAATCAAACCAGCTATGCTAATCCACGACCAAGTTTTTAGAAACAAGCAGGTTCAAGCCCGCGCGTGCTCGTAATTCTACATACATGCGTGGACCATACATACATTGCACTTAACAGTTACGCATTGCATGTTCATAGGTGTCTACATGTACACATGTGAATGTTTATGAATGCGTACATTTGCTTATATATGTGTGTGTGTGTGTCTGTGTGTGTACCTACACGTGTTTGTATGTGTATTTGTGCATGCCTCCGTGTTTGTGTGTATTACTGTAATGTCATGTGAACAAGAGCAACAACAAACAACAACAAACAACATCAAACAACAACCAACAACAAACAACAAACAACAAACAACAAACAACAAACAACAAACAACACACAACAAACAACAAACAACAAGCAACAAGCAACAAGCAACAAGCAACAAGCAACAAGCAACAAGCAACAAGCAACAAGCAACAAGCAACAAGCAACAAGCAACAAGCAACAAGCAACAAGCAACAAGCAACAAGCAACAAGCAACAAGCAACAAGCAACAAACAACAAGCAACAAGCAACAAGCAACAAGCAACAAGCAACAAGCAACAAGCAACAAGCAACAAGCAACAAGCAACAAGCAACAAGCAACAAGCAACAAGCAACAAGCAACAAGCAACAAGCAACAAGCAACAAGCAACAAGCAACAAGCAACAACAAGCAACAAGCAACAACAAGCAACAAGCAACAACAAGCAACAAGCAGCAACAAGCAACAAGCAGCAACAAGCAACAAGCAACAAGCAACAAGCAACAAGCAACAAGCAACAAGCAACAAGCAACAAGCAACAAGCAACAAGCAACAAGCAACAAGCAACAAGCAACAAGCAACAAGCAACAAGCAACAAGCAACAAGCAACAAGCAACAAGCAACAAGCAACAAGCAACAAGCAACAAGCAACAAGCAACAAGCAACAAGCAACAAGCAACAAGCAACAAGCAAACAAGCAAACAAGCAAACAAGCAACAAGCAACAAGCAACAAGCAACAAGCAACAAGCAACAAGCAACAAGCAACAAGCAACAAGCAACAAGCAGCAAGCAGCAAGCAGCAAGCAGCAAGCAGCAAACACCAAACACCAAACACCAAACACCAAACACCAAACAACAAACAACAAACAACCAGCAACAAGCAACAAGCAACAAGCGACAAGCGACAAACGACAAACGACAAACGACAAACGACAAACGACAAACAACAAACAACAAACAACAACCCACAAACAACAAACAACAAGCAACAATTAACAATCAACAAACAACAAACAACAAACAACAAACAACAAACAACAAACAACAACCAACAACCAACAACCAACAACCAACAACCACAACCACAACCACAACCACAACGACAACGACAACGACAACCACAACAACAACAACAACAACAACAACAACAACAGCAACAGCAACAGCAACATCAACAGCAACAGCAACAACGCGGCGAAGCGTGTTTAGGGCACGGGTACTTTTTGGTTGTGTTGCATAAATGCATTTTGCGTGGCCTGCGTGGGACGGAACACACCTGTCCCTTCAAGGACAGCGTGTGAAAACGGTTTTGTTTTGTTTTTTTTTTGTGACGGAACCGTGTATGTTTCCGTCAAAAATGAGCGTTTTGGCTAGGACGCGCTGCGGACGGAAATTCCTGATCGAGCAGCGTGTGTAGGCAAAACACGGCTACAAAGCAGCACATTGCGGCTGCGTGGAA